CGCACCTAGTACCGTTCTGCCGCACCTAGTACCGTTCTACCGCACCAAGTAACATTCTTCCGCACGTACTAGCACCTTTGTAGCGCAGTTCACACGTGGAGATACTGGCCAGGAGCAGGTGTTAATAGCCGCCACCGTAAGCCTAGACATTTTTATAGGTATGTCTATGTCGCCGACCTTCGCCTGCTGCCTCGTAAGAGTCGCCCCCCATTTTCTGTTAGTGTGTACTCACCTATTTGTACTCACCTATTTGTGCTTGCGGGGGTTGAGCTTTGGCTCTTTGGTCCCGCCTCTCAACTGTCAATCAACTGGTGTACAGATTCCTGAGCCTACTGGGCTCTATCATATCTACATTTAAAACTGTGTATGGAGTCAGCCTCCACCACATCACTGCCTAATGCATTCCATCCGTTAACTACTCTGACACTGAAAAAGTTCCTTTTCAAAAAAGTGTGTGTGTGTGTGTGTGTGTGTGTGTGTGTGTGTGTGTGTGTGTACTCACCTATTTGTGCTTGCGGGGGTTGAGCTCTGGCTCTTTGGTCCCGCCTCTCAACCGTCAATCAACAGGTCTACAGGTTCCTGAGCCTACTGGGCTCTATCATATCTACACTTGAAACTGTGTATGGAGTCAGCCTCCTAAACATCACTGCCTAATGCATTCCATTTGTCAACTACTCTGACACTAAAAAAATTATTTCTAATATCTCTGTGGCTCATTTGGGCACTCAGTTTCCATCTGTGTCCCCTTGTGCGTGTGCCCCTTTGTGTTAAATAGCATGTCTTTATCTACCCTATCAATTCCCTTCAGAATCTTGAATGTGGTGATCATGTCCCCCCTAACTCTTCTGTCTTCCAGCGAAGTGAGGTTTAATACCCGTAGTCTCTCCTCGTAGCTCATACCTCTCAGCTCGGGTACTAGTCTGGTGGCAAACCTTTGAACCTTTTCCAGTTTGGTCTTATCCTTGACTAGATATGGACTCCATGCTGGGGCTGCATACTCCAGGATTGGCCTGACATATGTGGTATACAAAGTTCTGAATGATTCCTTACACAAGTGTCTGAATGCCGTTCTTATGTTGGCCAGCCTGGCATATGCCGCTGCTGTTATCCTCTTGATATGGGCTGCAGGAGACAGGTCTGGCGTGATATCAACCCCAAGTCTTTTTCTTTTTCGGACTCTTGAAATATTTCATCTCCCAGATGGTACCTTGTATCTGGCCTCCTGCTCCCCACACCTGTCTTCATTACTTTACATTTGCTTGGGTTAAACTCTAACAACCATTTGTTTGACCATTCCTTCAGCTTGTCCAGGTCTTCTTGAAGCCTCAAGCAGTCCTCCTCTGTCTTAATCCTTCTCATAATTTTGGCATCGTCAGCAAACATTGAGAGAAATGAATCTATACCCTCCGGGAGATCATTTACATATCTCAGAAACAAGATAGGACCGAGTACAGAGCCCTGTGGGACTCCACTGGTGACTTCACGCCAATCTGAGGTCTCACCCCTCACCGTAACTCTCTGCTTCCTATTGCTGTGTGTGTGTGTGCGTGTGTAATTACCTAAGTGTAGTTACAGGATGAGAGCTACGCTCGTGGTGTCCCGTCTTCCCAGCACTCTGTCATATAACGCTTTGAAGCTACTGACGGTCTTGGCCTCCACCACCTTCTCACCTAACTTGTTCCAACCGTCTACCACTCTGTTTGCGAAAGTGAATTTTCTTATATTTCTTCGGCATCTGCGTTTAGCTAGTTTAAATCTATGACCTCTTGTTCTTAAAGTTCCAGGTCTCAGGAAATCTTCCCTATCGATTTTATCAATTCTTGTTACTATTTTGTATGTAGTGATCATATCACCTTTTTTTCTTTCTGTGTGTGACTGGGATGGTTAGTCAGTCACACTCGCCACCACACATACCATCATTACACTCTCCTGTCATTGACGTCTGTCTTTTGTTTAACAATATCACATTTTTATAGATATTTAATATCTTTCGTCTCCCAAGACAATGAAGTGACCCCCTTCAAGATCCGTTTTATTTTCTGTAATGTGGTGGCTTTTGCGGTTAGTATTGTGGTTGTGTTGCAGTGTTGAGGAGCTTGCAACACTCACCGCAGTTATACACACTCCAGGTCAACACGGGTTGAAGCAGTGAAGGTCTATTTCACAACTACTTGATCTCTATGACAATAATAATTGGCGAAGTTGGGAGGTGCATTTTCTCAATTTTCAATCCAACTGTTTGCTAAGTGCGGATATTATATATATATATATATATATATATATATATATATATATATATATATATATATATATATATATATATATATATATATAATATTAATTAATGTGTAGTAACTAGCTTCCAAAGATTGTCACTTGCATAGCTAAGCGAACTATGAGGTTAAGTTCCTGAACCCATTATGTGCCTTTGTAACCCTTTCCACCACCACCCACGGCATGGGTATGGGGCGCATAATAAATAAAGAACTGAAAAAAAAGTAGAATGGGTGAAGCGTTTAAACTGGTAAAGACTCAAACCACACAGACTACTCCTTGGAAGGAAGAAGAAAGATATCATAATATACATACAAAAGGAAAGGGAATCGTTAGAAGAAAGCAGCGAGCTATTACAACTATACACACACACACGTTGGGCAGAGTTTCTTTCACCCTATGCCCCTGTTACCTAGCAGTAAATAGGTACCTGGGAGTTAGGTGTCACGGGCTGCTTCCTGGTGTGTGTGTGTGTGGTGTGGAAAAAATAATAGTAGTAGTAGAAACAGTTGATTGACAGTTGAGAGGCGGGCCGAAAGAGCAGAGCTCAACCCCCGCAAGCACAACTAGGTGAATAGAACTAGGTGTATACACAAGATACGTGAAGGTTCCAAACCTGCACAATAAAACAAGAACATACTGGAGTGAGAGATATGATGGGAAGTGTAAAGGAAGTTCCGTGGAAGGTCTGGGCGATATAACCACAATAAAACAACACATAAACATCAGAGACCCGCGGCGCTGGTCTCCAGACAACACACACAAAATGTCGCTGCAACACCAGAGTAATACCTGGGGCATACCTGGGGCATATCTGGGGAGGGTTTCCAGAGTTCTTCTACTCCCCAAGCCCGGCCCGAGGCCAGGCTCGACTTGTGAGAGCTTGGTCCACCAGGCTGTTGCTTGGAGCGGCCCATAGACTCCTCACATATCCACCACAGCTCGGTTAGTCCGGTACTTCTTGCAAGGACGTAGATATGTGCTCACAACTAGGTGGGTACAACTAGGTGAGGTGAGTACACACCTAGTTGTAGACCTGTAATATGTCCTTGACAATTACCCGGCCACAACTGTAGTGTCAGTGTATATGTGGAAGTGTAAAACAGTAATTTAAGTGATGTAGTAGAGAGACAAGCCTGCGAGATACGGTGTAATTGGCAAGGGTGAAGTGTGTTGGGTGTTAGCAGTCAGGTAGTCCAGGGCTTCAAGTGGGGTAGTTTATGGCTGTGGTTGGGCCTATCAGAATTGGCTCATCGTCAGGCCTAGTGCTGATATGAAACCCAGTGTGGCGGCCCACAAGAGAAGCGAGGTGTCTAATAACTGTGACTGCAAGCAAACATAAGTATATTAGAAATAATTTTGTCATTGTAAGAGTAGTTAATAAATAGCATGCATCAGGAAGTGATGTGGTGGAAGCAGACTTCATACACAGTTTCAAATGTAGAGCCCAATAAGTTCAGAAACCTGAACACCAGATCTATATTAATTTATAATTAAGAATTTTTGGTTTCGTACTGTACGTTAAAATTGAAGTAGAACAACATACCCATCTTGTGGGCGGTAGTGGAAAGGTTTACAGAGGCACATAATGGGCTCAGGGACTGGTCCCCACAATTCATTTAGCTAAGCCGGTCGGCCGAGCGGACAGCACACTGGACTTGTGATCCTGTGATCCTGGGTTCGATCCCAGGCGCCGGCGAGAAACAATGGGCAGAGTTTCTTTCACCCTATGCCCCTGTTACCTAGCAGTGAAATAGGTACCTGGGTTAGTCAGTCAGTTGTCACGGGCTGCTTCCTGGGGGTGGAGGGCTGGTCGAGGACCGGGCCGCGGGGACACTAAAGCCCCGAAATCATCTCAAGATAACCTCAAGAAGCCAGTTACTCTCTTGATGAGCTAGTTACAAAATTCAGTATAAGTCGTCATATCAACAATGGGCTCGAGATAGACCACAAGTACAGTTTCTAAGCTAAGCAACTGACATATGTGGAGAGCTAGTGTCGTAATTGATATGTTTGTCCTGCACACCGCCCCCCATCCAGTGGGCAGCGGTGGATAGGTTACAATCACTTAGTTATTACCTACAGTTAGCAAACTGGGAATATTTGGCAAACATTTCTGATAGCAGATAATTTTGAATGAAATATTTACACCTGTTGAGCATTGGTTATAGAATTGTCTCTGAATTCACGTATCTTTTCGCACTCCATCACAGTGACGGAGGGTGAGCGAATAATTTTGTTGACACAGTTTACATTTGGTCAGGTCTACATCAGCAGATAATACAAACTCCCAGAGATACTATCAGAGTCTAAGCCGAGCAGTAGTAACCTCTAGGAGTCTTCCGATATTATTGGATGATCCATAGGTTTGTAACTCCTCTTGCATGATAGTATGATAGATACAATTACCGGTGTCGATTTCACTTTGCCTCAGATCTACAAGATTTTGTTGGAGTTCTTGGTGCACTATTGCTGTCAGACTGCTGCAACACTACACACGATATTTGTTGCCCATGGCGTTAAAAGCAACATTTGCTATACATTATTTTTTTTTCTACGTGCTTCCCTGAAGACGAACATAAGAATCAATGAAACTGCAGGAGGCCTATTAGCCCATACGTGGCAGCTCCTGTTTATATCCACCCAGACTCGTTCATATATGTCTAACCAACGCTTGAAACTATCAAGGGATCCCCTGAAAAATATGAAATAGGACCTCCCCTTACCTTGCTTCATGGATCCTACGCCTACGTGCTCTTTACCAATTCTCAAAACCTTGCATTTATCTGGGTTAAAATCCAGCATCCATTTCTCATAAAGCTTACCCATGGCCTTCTGCCTATACCTACAATCTTAATTTTTGCTATTTTATTTGATCCATTTTGAATCGTCTTCAAACATATGAATTAACTTAGAGTTCCGCGGTTAGAACATTTAGTGAGAAGTGTTTGTGAATGGAGACGAGAGGTTTTGTTTTATTAATACATTAGATACATCTGCATTTGTGCAGGTGCCCTAGACTATATGAAGGGGAGTGTGTCGAAAGCTAGCCACGTGGTGCTAAATAAATCCCCATCACGCAGGATGGTGAGACGAGAGATAAATTCGAGGGGAAGTGCGTGGTGATGAACTAGCCCCTATAAGGGGCTAGAGATCGACCACATTGTAAGGGGCTAGACCCAGCCTTACTGGTTATGTGAAGCATGAACTGTGGTATGCAGGCTTTCATGACTAAGCCCTTTATGACTAACCATCCTGCGAGATGGGGAGGACTTTTACTACCACAGCTACCACTCTTCTCTCTTGTGGTGGTGATAGCCTCATAATGCACCCGGAGTTTGCCAGTGCAGACTGCATGCCTCTGTATGACTAACATGTCATGCCTCTGTATGACTAACATGTCATGCCTCTGTATGACTAACATGTCATGCCCCTGTATGACTAACATGTCACATGCCCCTGTATGACTAACATGTCATGCCTCTGTATGACTAACATGTCATGCCCCTGTATGACTAACATGTCATGCCTCTGTATGACTAACATGTCATGCCCCTGTATGACTAACATGTCACATGCCCCTGTATGACTAACATGTCATGCCTCTGTATGACTAACATGTCATGCCCCTGTATGACTAACATGTCATGCCCCTGTATGACTAACATGTCATGCCTCTGTATGACTAACATGTCATGCCCCTGTATGACTAACATGTCATGCCTCTGTATGACTAACATGTCATGCCCCTGTATGACTAACATGTCATGCCTCTGTATGACTAACATGTCATGCCCCTGTATGACTAACATGTCATGCCCCTGTATGACTAACATGTCATGCCTCTGTATGACTAACATGTCATGCCCCTGTATGACTAACATGTCATGCCTCTGTATGACTAACATGTCATGCCTCTGTATGACTAACATGTCATGCCTCTGTATGACTAACATGTCACATGCCTCTGTATGACTACCTATCATGCCTCTGTATGACTAACTATCATGCCTCTGTATGACTATCATGCCTCTGTATGACTAACTATCATGCCTCTGTATGACTAACTATCATGCCTCTGAATGACTACCTATCATGCCTCTGTATGACTAACTATCATGCCTCTGTATGACTATCATGACTCTGTATGACTAACATGTCACATGCCCCTGTATGACTAACATGTCATGCCCCTGTATGACTAACATGTCATGCCCCTGTATGACTAACATGTCATGCCTCTGTATGACTAACATGTCATGCCTCTGTATGACTAACATGTCACATGCCCCTGTATGACTAACATGTCACATGCCTCTGTATGACTAACATGTCATGCCTCTGTATGACTAACATGTCATGCCTCTGTATGACTAACATGTCACATGCCTCTGTATGACTAACATGTCATGCCTCTGTATGACTAACATGTCACATGCCCCTGTATGACTAACATGTCATGCCCCTGTATGACTAACATGTCACATGCCTCTGTATGACTAACATGTCATGCCTCTGTATGACTAACATGTCATGCCTCTGTATGACTAACATGTCATGCCCCTGTATGACTAACATGTCACATGCCCCTGTATGACTAACATGTCATGCCTCTGTATGACTAACATGTCATGCCTCTGTATGACTAACATGTCATGCCTCTGTATGACTAACATGTCATGCCTCTGTATGACTAACATGTCACATGCCCCTGTATGACTAACATGTCATGCCCCTGTATGACTAACATGTCATGCCTCTGTATGACTAACATGTCATGCCCCTGTATGACTAACATGTCATGCCCCTGTATGACTAACATGTCACATGCCTCTGTATGACTAACATGTCATGCCTCTGTATGACTAACATGTCATGCCTCTGTATGACTAACATGTCATGCCTCTGTATGACTAACATGTCATGCCTCTGTATGACTAACATGTCATGCCCTTGTATGACTGTATGACTAACATGTCATGCCTCTGTATGACTAACATGTCATGCCCCTGTATGCCTAACTGTATGACTAACATGTCATGCCTCTGTATGCCTCTGTATGACTAACATGTCATGCCCCTGTATGCCATGTCATGCTGTATGACTAACATGTCATGCCTCTGTATGACTAACATGTCATGCCTCTGTATGACTAACATGTCACATGCCCCTGTATAACATGTCACATGCCCCTGTATGACTAACATGTCATGCCTCTGTATGACTAACATGTCATGCCCCTGTATGACTAACATGTCATGCCCCTGTATGACTAACATGTCATGCCTCTGTATGACTAACATGTCATGCCTCTGTATGACTAACATGTCACATGCCCCTGTATGACTAACATGTCATGCCTCTGTATGACTAACATGTCATGCCCCTGTATGACTAACATGTCATGCCCTTGTATGACTAACATGTCACATGCCCCTGTATGACTAACATGTCACATGCCTCTGTATGACTAACATGTCATGCCCCTGTATGACTAACATGTCATGCCTCTGTATGACTAACATGTCATGCCTCTGTATGACTAACATGTCACATGCCCCTGTATGACTAACATGTCATGCCCCTGTATGACTAACATGTCATGCCCCTGTATGACTAACATGTCATGCCTCTGTATGACTAACATGTCATGCCTCTGTATGACTAACATGTCACATGCCCCTGTATGACTAACATGTCACATGCCCCTGTATGACTAACATGTCATGCCTCTGTATGACTAACATGTCATGCCTCTGTATGACTAACATGTCACATGCCCCTGTATGACTAACATGTCATGCCCCTGTATGACTAACATGTCATGCCCCTGTATGACTAACATGTCATGCCCCTGTATGACTAACATGTCATGCCTCTGTATGACTAACATGTCATGCCCCTGTATGACTAACATGTCACATGCCCCTGTATGACTAACATGTCATGCCTCTGTATGACTAACATGTCATGCCTCTGTATGACTAACATGTCATGCCCCTGTATGACTAACATGTCATGCCTCTGTATGACTAACATGTCACATGCCCCTGTATGACTAACATGTCATGCCTCTGTATGACTAACATGTCATGCCCCTGTATGACTAACATGTCATGCCCCTGTATGACTAACATGTCATGCCCCTGTATGACTAACATGTCACATGCCCCTGTATGACTAACATGTCATGCCTCTGTATGACTAACATGTCATGCCCCTGTATGACTAACATGTCATGCCCCTGTATGACTAACATGTCATGCCTCTGTATGACTAACATGTCATGCCCCTGTATGACTAACATGTCATGCCTCTGTATGACTAACATGTCATGCCCCTGTATGACTAACATGTCATGCCCCTGTATGACTAACATGTCATGCCCCTGTATGACTAACATGTCATGCCTCTGTATGACTAACATGTCATGCCTCTGTATGACTAACATGTCATGCCTCTGTATGACTAACATGTCATGCCTCTGTATGCCATGTCATGCTGTATGACTAACATGTCATGCCTCTGTATGACTAACATGTCATGCCTCTGTATGACTAACATGTCATGCCTCTGTATGCCATGTCATGCCTGTATGACTAACATGTCATGCCTCTGTATGACTAACATGTCATGCCCCTGTATGACTAACATGTCATGCCCCTGTATGACTAACATGTCATGCCTCTGTATGACTAACATGTCATGCCTCTGTATGACTAACATGTCATGCCTCTGTATGACTAACATGTCATGCCTCTGTATGACTAACATGTCATGCCTCTGTATGACTAACATGTCATGCCCCTGTATGACTAACATGTCATGCCTCTGTATGACTAACATGTCATGCCTCTGTATGACTAACATGTCATGACTAACATGCCCTCTGTATGACTAACATGTCATGCCTCTGTATGACTAACATGTCATGCCTCTGTATGACTAACATGTCATGCCCCTGTATGACTAACATGTCATGCCTCTGTATGACTAACATGTCATGCCTCTGTATGACTAACATGTCACATGCCCCTGTATGACTAACATGTCATGCCTCTGTATGACTAACATGTCATGCCCCTGTATGCCTGTCACATGTATGACTAACATGTCATGCCTCTGTATGACTAACATGTCATGCCTCTGTATGACTAACATGTCATGCCTCTGTATGACTAACATGTCATGCCTCTGTATGACTAACATGTCACATGCCTCTGTATGACTAACATGTCATGCCTCCTGTATGACTAACATGTCATGCCTCTGTATGACTAACATGTCATGCCTCTGTATGACTAACATGTCATGCCTCTGTATGACTAACATGTCACATGCCTCTGTATGACTAACATGTCATGCCTCTGTATGACTAACATGTCACATGCCCCTGTATGACTAACATGTCATGCCTCTGTATGACTAACATGTCATGCCTGCTGTATGACTAACATGTCATGCCTCTGTATGACTAACATGTCATGCCTCTGTATGACTAACATGTCATGCCCCTGTATGACTAACATGTCATGCCTCTGTATGACTAACATGTCATGCCCCTGTATGACTAACATGTCATGCCCCTGTATGACTAACATGTCATGCCTCTGTATGACTAACATGTCATGCCCCTGTATGACTAACATGTCATGCCCCTGTATGACTAACATGTCATGCCTCTGTATGACTAACATGTCATGCCCCTGTATGACTAACATGTCATGCCTCTGTATGACTAACATGTCATGCCCCTGTATGACTAACATGTCATGCCATGTCATGCTGTATGACTAACATGTCATGCCTCTGTATGACTAACATGTCAT